TATATTTATTTATTTATTTATTTATTTATTTATATATATATGGGTGGTATTAAGAAAACCGCTCCTCATATGTGTTATTCGTCTCCATAGAGATCGAACCCGCGTCAGAGCGGTCTTACGACTGACAGCTCGGTTACCTGTCAACCTGCCACCCAGGAGGCGCACCATATATATATATATATATTACTAAAGGAATGGGTGGAGGCTATTATATGAGCCCCGACCATCTCTCATACTCCTAAGAATTTGAGTACGACGCCCTACACTCGGGGGGAATCAAACCCCAGACTAGAGGAGACTTACAACTGACAAGCAGATGCCTGACCAACTCATCTGAGTACGTAATACACAGTAGATGCCCGACCAACTTATATGAGTACGCGATACACTAATCAACGGAAAAGAAAGAAAGTTAGGTAAGAGAGGTAGATGAGGCACACCTCTCCCTAGTATACAATGCACTCAAGAACTTCCCCAAATTAGATACATGTATGCCAAAAGTTAGAGCAGAAACAAAAAGATTATTCTGTAAATTAACCTAGAGAACACAGAGGAAGAAAAACTGTAACTTTGTATGAAATGTCCAAATGATAGAATTTGACGATCATACAGGAGCAAAATATTTTCCATCTCTTAGGTGATAGCTTAAACATGAGACAACGTCCTAAAAGAGTAGCATAGCCCTTTAACAAAACAGCCCCACTATGTCTAGACTGAAGAGAATGGTGTGGTTAGGGTTTTGCTCTTGCGTTTTTCAGGGTGATTTTCAGTGGTGGTCTTTCGCAGTGATCTCTCTCTCCGGCAGTAAGGTTTTTTCACTGGCCCTGGTTTTTCTTTCTCTGATGGCATCGCGGTCTTTTGCTGAGATTATCGGTGGGGGGTCCATGACAGACGACTCTCTTAAAATCATGTTTTTTTCCGCAAGTGTTTCACGACTCTCTTGATGGCTCGAGTGAACTCTCTATGGTTAAGAAAACTGGCAAGAAAAATGGTAAACCCGCTCTTTACATCTCTGATAATGAATGCTCTACCCTTGTAATTTGTTGTCGGTTAGCTCCGGTAGGTAAATTCTTGTACGAACATCCCAAATTAGATTTGATTCGAAGGGATTTTGATAATTTCAAACTTAAGGGCAATTGGAAGTAGGGAGCGTTGGATGGTGTCATATTCTTATTCGATTGGAAAATGAGGAAAATTATGCTTGGTTATTTGCTAGGAAAGTAATGAAAGTTTATAATTGTGTGATGAAACGCTCTAAATGGTCTCTTGATTTTGATCCCCAAATAGAACCCTTTATAGTTCCTGTTTGGATCCGCTTTCTAGAGCTTAAATTACATCTTTTTAATTATCAAATCCTTTTCACTCTGGCGGCTATCTTCAGTAAGCCCCTAAAAATGGATTCTCCCACTTTTTCAGTACACGACCGGCTATGGATAGGATTCTGGTGGAAAGAGACATAATGCAAACTTCAGTGGAAGAGATCTGGATCGGTTCGTCTCATAATGTTTATTGGCAAAAGGTTATTTTGGAACAACATTCTTTCTATTGAAATAATTATAAAATGTTTGGGCTTTCGGAAGCTCGATGCTTACAAAATAAGGGAAAGGAAAAGGTTACTTTTACCAATCATAATGACAATGTAGGGAGAGATATTAGTGAAACGGTAGTTAGTGATGTCTCCTTTGATAAGGAGGTTGAAAATTTCAAAGAGGGTGCTAATGAGAGGGAGGATTCAGGAGGGGATGAAATTCATCATAATCCTATTTTGGAAGAAGCATTGGAAAATTTGGAGGAGGAATGGATTATTCTGAAATCCAAAAAGAAAAAAAGAGCAAATGAATTGAGTCAAATTAGTAACGAGAAAATTCTACCAAATGAGGATGGTTATTATTCAAAGGGGACTCATCAACAAATCCTTACTAGAGGCTCTAGGAAGAAGAGATTGGTTAATCATGTTTAACATCTTGATTTGGAATATTAGGGGATTGGTTGACCCGCTGTCCCTTAATCACTTAAATTTTTTGTGCAACCATAAACCTGACATTTTTTTTTCCATTTGGAAACTTTATTAAATTTTCATTTTGAGAAGGTTCTTTTAAATTTTAGAAAGTTTAATGTTTTTAGAAATTCCTCAAGCAAAATTTGGGTGTTCTGGAAAAAGGTTATGTATATTTCTCTTGTTTACAATGAGGCACAGTTTCATTCATGCACATTTTGACAAAGAGGATTATCATGGTTGGTTTACTTTATATATTCTAGTACTATTTATTGACCTGGCTCGCAATTACATAGATTTAATATTCCAAAAGAAGACAAAAAACTTGACCAAATTTATATTTAGCGGCTAGTGTGAATAAATGAAATGTTATTAAGTATAGAATAATAGTTTTCACACTAGATGTACTACGCAAGTATAAATATCGTTTCAACTAATATAGAGTTTTCTATAAAAACCCCAGTATCAATCCCACATATCAATCCCACAGGGAAGTTGTAATTCTTTGAATATACTTTTAGTGAAACAGTATCAATCCCACAAGGAAGTTGTAATTCTTTGAATATACTTTTAGTGAAACTTTTGCTTAAAACTGCAAAAATTAATCTAGAAAATATAATAGCAAATTTAAATGTAATGTAAAGCTACTAAATTCCTACAAGTTCTGTTTAAAACTAAATGTAAATGTAGAAATTCTAAACTATGTTAAATGTAAAAGAAGAATCTAGTTATGAAAAAAATCTTTCCCCTTGCAATGAGTTCATAGTCTGTGTTAGAATCAAAAGGTTTAAAAGTTTAAAAGATCTATTGTGACAAATAGAAGCATTCATATTCATTACTCTCTCCCGAGTGCATAAAGAACATTAGCTAATCTAAAGTAAGTTCCTTATTGTATGTTAGTGCTGAGTAGATTATAGTCTCTCACTTCTAGATTCTCCATTGTAACCTCTCTATAGGACCTACCAGGGACTTCAAGTTCCAACTCTACACCAAATTGGTAAATGATTTAGTCTGTCACCCTAGAAACACCAATTATACGCCCATTAAAACTTATGTGCCTATCTATTTGCACTCTCCTTAGATTGTGGTGGCCTCCTCATAAGCTTAGTGTGATATTCACTAGTTAAGTGAAATCATAGCCCTCCTGGGTCATTATGTTTCGCAACAGATTTTAACATTACAAGTGCTCAGTTTGCGAAGTAAACGAAGAACCAATAACATACTACCACAATTTTGGGAATAAAAGAAATTCTAAACAAATCAAATCTTCTATATGATTACTTCTTATTGCAAGGAGAAAGAAAAGAAAAACTATTCAAAATTCATTGAAATGACAAAACAAAACACGATTTATATTAAAACTCAAGTTCATAACACAAAACTTAAACAAAAATACAAATACTAATCTCAACTTCTTCCCCAAGCAATCTTTTGAAGTGCGCAGACTTCCTAGACTCCAATAGACTCTTACAAGACTCACAACACTCTTATGACAGTCGCCCACTCTAATGGGGGACTACCTTAATCACTCTTGCACGCACACACACACTCTAGCACCCCCTACCACTCCAGCGCTCTCTGTTTTTGTTTGGACTTCATCCCTATATGTAAAGCTCTGAAAATCATCAAGGGTTACTTCAGACACCTTTTCAAATTTTGGACAAATTCATTGAATAAAAGGGATAACCGTTTCTGGTGCCTAGGCGCCAATCATGTTCGAACTTCTGACGCTTAGGCGCCATTGCTCCATATCTTCATTTTCACTTCTTTTCCTGTAAACTCCACTCCATGCACCTGAAATAAAAAACATACAAAATACATTTCATTAAAGCGCAATATCATCAAAAATAGGCATGAAATATATACATAAAATAGGTAATTTTAAGACATGTCATTTATCATGAAAGATTGGACCTGTGGAGTAATATTGTGGCTATTAGTGAACTCACAAAGGATAGATGGGTTATTGGTGGTGACTTTAACATGATACTGGATTGTTCTGAAAAAAGAGGAAGGAAGAGGTATGACTCTTTTCTAATGTCCAAATTCAATGACATGGCAAGTGAGTCCAATCTGTTTGATTTGGGCTTCTTGGTTGAGATGGTTGAGATTTGATGTACGCTCTTGGCATAATTGAGGGAGATGGTGGAATGATCCCGCTATAACAGCCTTGGAGGATCATATTCTCCCTAAGTATGACTTTGTCATAATGAATGATTTGGGCGACTTCTCACATGTCATCTGAATGAGTCGCTCTGGCTAATATTACTTCAATCGCCCTTACGATTTTATGTAGTCTATGGTTCAATGTGTCAACTCGAATTTTCAGTTTGTAGATCCGTCTTTTGATGGACCCTCTTTAGTTTATGGTCTTTTTCCCCGTGGACCATTACATTTTCTTGAGATTCATGCTGACAAGTCCTTCTTTATATACTGATTTAATTATTTTCCTTCGAGATATGTGAAGTGATTAAGTTCCGATTTGTTGGACCATTTCTCAAATTATGTTATTATAACATGATAAATATCAAAATATAATGCACATAACATAAACTAGTGGTATGATACAAAAGAATTGAATGGGTTGTATGTGAATATTCCAAAATTAAAATTAAATTTAAAGGCTAATGGAAAACCAAAATGCCTCAACCAACGGGCTATTCATGGAGTGGCCATTCTCATATTTATATTCCCACTATCCCATCCTTCTTCCTTCGCGACAGACAGATACCTCTGTCGTTTTGAATGGCACGCGAAATTTGGCGTATCTTAACCACACAGCAGTATGCGGACTCACGTGTGAAACGGATTTTCCACTCGTGCGAGTTCGATCCATAAAAGAGCAGTGAGGCGAGAGGAGAGAGGGAGAGGTAGCTCAGCTAGTTGGCCCGACATGGCGGGGAATGAGTGGATTAACGGGTACTTGGAGGCGATACTGAACAGCGGCGGTGCGGCGGTGGCGGAGGAGCAACGTCCGGCGGCGGTGGCGGCGGAGGCGGAGGTGGGGGTGGGGGGAGCCCATTTCAACCCGACGAGGTACTTCGTGGAGGAGGTGGTGACTGGAGTGGATGAGACGGACCTCTATCGGACCTGGATCAAGGTGGTCGCCACGAGGAATGTCAAGGAGAGGAGCTCCCGGCTCGAAAATATGTGCTGGAGAATCTGGCATCTTGCCCGCAAGAAGAAACAGGTCGCCTCTCCCTCTCTTTCTGATGAAACTATTAATAATGATTTTGAATGGATTAATCAGGGTTTTTCCGATTAAAGTTTGTTTTTTTGTTCTATTTGGGGTTTGAAGGGAAGGATTTTGGATAGATTGTTTTGTTAGACAATTAGACCTAGTAAGTTTGTTGGAATTGTTTGTGTTCTGAAGTTAGGATTTTGAGCTGGTTCAGTCTGCTAGAGTGCTCTTCTAACCTGGCTTTTTTTCAATGAACTAATTTGTTTCTTGATTAGACTGAATTTTAGTGATTGTATATTTTAATTTTCCTTTTCTTTGTTCTTTTTAGCTATTGTTTATTTCTGTATATTTTTTATCTCTTCTTTTTCTATTCATTTATAAGTATGCAATGTTTTTGTTTTCCTTTACCTTGCTTGTCCTGTGCTGTTTTTTCTTTTCCAGGGAAAGATGGTGAAAAAATGCATCCATTTCCTTTCTCTGGTGGCTAAGTTTTTAGGAGCAAATCACCTAATTTTTAGAAGGTAGCAATTTCATTTTTTTAAAATTATGGAGCCAATTTGCCCGTTCAATCTTCATTTTTGGCTCCAAACAACGATTGAAATTAATTACATGAAAGCCAATTATTGGCAAGTATTGAAATTGCTGAAGATGTTAACAAAAAAAAAACTTGGGACCAAGAATAAGAATGACAGAGATGGTCACACAATTCTCTCCGGGATTTAGGTATGAAAGTAAAAAAGATAGGTAAGGAGAGCTTTTATGAAGGCCTGTTTCTATTTAGAAGTTTTTGGGTAGTAGGTATAAAGAAGAATAGAAAATAAATTAAATGGACACAAAAATATATGTATTTTGATTTTATGTGCTTATGTACATGATCATGGCAAAGGGATAATTCTACTAAGCTCAAGGGAATTTGACTACCGTCATCCTTTTCCTGTTTGTTGTAGAACTCTAGAAAATGTACTAGCTAAAAATATTTTCTACAAAAAGATTTAGAGCCATATTTTTCTATGGAGGGGGAACACCATGATTCTTGTGTTGAAGTGTCATATTGATAGTGGGTTTCTAGTGCATGAAACATGGCATCATGGCATTGTAGTTGTGGTGAATGGGGACTTTGAAAGAGTGCCATATGAGGTGAGAGAAGATATTGTTTTACACCACTCTGGAGGATGAAAAATAGTGTACTTTTTCTCCAGTATAAGAATCTAGTACAAAATAAGAAGGAATGCACTAAAAATTTGATTTTTTCAGACAAATGGTTGATTTGTTAGTATAAAATATTTTGAATGTGTATCCATGATCATTTATAAAGTTAATTATCATGATTCAAATATAAGAAAAATGATATATGTTATCCTCGAATTCATTTATGAAAAGAGTAGATTCATTATTAACTTTTGAAAGTTTTTTATTTTAAAATTTATTTTGCTATTGTTGTTCGGAGACATAAAACAAGGAAAATTGCTCGAGGGATCCGAAGCAAATCTTTGAATAGACGCAAACAAAACAAAAAAACACCAAAAACACTGGATTTAATGTGAAAAAACACAAAAATGGTTTAAAATCATGGAGTCACACCACAACAAGAAATCCACTATAAATATAATGGAGAAAATCATGCAAATTATATCATACTCAAGCCTCTCTATACTTTTGTAACTCCAGGACACTCTTATCCTCTCATTTGCACATGAGAAAATCTAAATCCTTCACATTTTGTTCAGAAAATCTAAATACTAGGGCACAGCATCCTGACACTTTGACGTCTTGCTCTCGCATGCTAAACTTGAAGTTTGGAATTATCTGCAGCGACATGGTATTCCAGGCATTGGGGTGTTACTGACTCGGTGCTGAGACGATGTTGGCTTGGCTCTGGGGTGCTAAACTTACAACGCCGAGGCTTCATGTCCAAAAAGAAATTTTTTGGGCAGCTTGATCGATAAAATTGAGGGCTCTTAATCAACAATTGATTAACACAATCAAGCTCCACCTAATAACAATTTTTATCATTTTAAAAGAAATTGATTATTATCATGATTATTAATTAGGTTTAGAATTAATTTTGCTTCAATTTTATTATTCAAATATCCAAAGAAAAATTGTTATTTTTTATATAAAAATATTGTACTATCAACATATTTAGTTAAGGTAAGAGAATCAAGGAAGATCTTGTTACTCATCAAAATAATTATTGAGATCTATTATTTTTTAATAGGAAATGGTCATAATTTTAAGCAAGGAAATAAGCATAGTAATCTATCTGGCATTAATAAAGCTCTAATGCAAGGAATGAAGTTTTGGATAATTTAAAATCAAGGACCACTTCAATTAAATAAAGTGGGCGTAATTATTGCAATCATATTAAGAGATTTTAGACTTTTTTCCTTCCATAAAATTATGTAATAATTTGTATTTTAATTCTTATGAACATAGAATGAGTTATATTGAAAAATTTTGTTGGGTTGAAACAATATATAGTGTTGCTTGTATACCGTGAAACGTAAAGCTTAATAGGTTTCCTCTATTAAGATTGTTTACTAAATTTCTTATAAATATTATTTGTATTTCTTTTATATTATTTCTTTTCATTCAATATTATATATATAAATGATGCGGGGCCTATGGTGGACCAATCGGTCCTCAAAGGGAGGGGGGTTGTCGGTCCTCCCTTCCCCTTCTATCTCCTTCCCCACTTTTCTTCTTAGCACTCTAAATCAAAATTTTTGAATATTTTTACCCTTCTTTCCTAAATTCTGTGATGCGGTTTTATTCTTCTTTCTTATTTTAAAAATCTTTCCTAAAATCTAAATATGATTTTATTCTTCTTTCTTATTTTAAAAAGTCTTTCCTAGAATTTGAAATTTGAGTTTATTCTCATTCTTATTTTAAATATGACCTAAAATAATGTTTTAGTCTCATTATAAATAGAGGATGATGAGCTTAGAGTTAGGGTTTTCATTTTTTACCTTTGAATTCAGATTTTAGCATTGGTATTTTTTCTTCGAGGATTGTATCCGACGTCGAGGTAGTGCTTCCGCTGTTCCTCGTTCAAGGTAATAATTGTCTTCAAAGGTCTGAGTGGTGCTCCAGTTGTTGCTCAACCCTGACAAGACATTTTCCTTACCATACTTTCATTTCCCTATTGTTATTTCAAAATCCAATCACCGCAACCACCTCTTCCAATGTTTCTAGCCACCTTTCTGCTCTCATCCAGTCATCAACTTGTTGTCCAGCCCTTTCAGGCCATTCCTGGTAACCCACTGACACCCCTACAGCAACTACCATGTTGTCCTGACTTTTCAATCGCTGTCAGCGCTTCCCTGCTCACTGTCTATCCTCTAAAAGTGTTGGCCAACCTTCTTAGTTGCTGTCCTACTTCTTCCACAGAAGCTCCCACCTCTTCGGCCTTCACCGCAGCCGCCGATCCAGCCTTCAATGACGTTTATGCTTCTCTCCAGCTGCGGTTCGATGTCATTACTATCACCAATCTGTTGTCCTACTTCTTCTATTGCAGCCCCCACCTCTGCGACCTTTACCGCAGCCACCAATCCAGCCTCCCCTCTCCGGACTCCCTCCTCATTAAGCATGTTGTGTCTTCTTTGTGGAGTCATTAGTTGTAATTCTTTGTTTTGTGCTTTTGTTTTGTGTGTTGTCTTTCTTTATTTCGAGTCTTCATCGTAACCTTGTTTTAATTCAGTAGTAAAATTGTGTCTTGCATCATGATTTGGGTTAACATCGGTATTATTTAATATCAGAGCTAGCCCGACCCTAGTCTCATCCTAAGGTTTCTAGCTCCGCCCCTACCCAATCCACCTCAACAATTTTTTTCTTTTTTTCATATGACTTTCATTTTTTGTTCTTACTTTCCCTCCTTTGATCCCAAACTCTAACCATGCCTCCAAAGAGATCTATGCCCAACCCTACTCGGGACGAGATATGGAGAGAGCTCCGCCTTCCTTAGCGGAGGTTTATGGATATTGAAAAAAAAATCCAGTAGAAGGATACCCTTGACTAATCAGGAAGGTTGAAGGGAAGAACAAGAAAATATGAAGATGAAGTGAGAAATACAGTGTCAGTTCCTTCCAACTTAATACCGCCAAAAGTGACAGACTCTAGCTTTCTAAGTGGAAAGATTGTATCACCAAACAACCCTTGCTACTATTTAGCAAAATCAATCTACAAGTCTATCATAACCATAAGATGTTGCAAGAGCCACGAATTTAGGCATGTTGAAGCATAATGCACAACCAGGGGAGTGATCCACTTCACCAAGCAAGGCTTCATCGAAAAGTTGGGTAAAGACACCATAGACATTGAAGAGCAGTTCGAATGAGAATTTTCATCCGATGACGTCTTCCTCCGTGGAACCCTCTTATTCGTGGATACATCCAATGTCTTTCGTTCGTGTGATCAAAAGGAACATGCGACTTTTGATGAAATTGTGATTCATGCTCTCCTAGAATATGGAGAACTTTTTGTTGAGACATAAAAGTCACGCTGACCAGAAGATGTTATAATTTAAAATTCCTGTAGATGGTCTTAGTAACGACCAACTGATGACATTACATGTGGCTACACTTCCAACACTCACCCCCAGTGTTCTGTATAAAAAAACAAAATGCCAATGTGAAGCTATTGTTATTGGAACACAGTAGAAGATATCAGTTCTCCAAAACTTCAAGAGTCGGAGGGAAGACCCGAAAGATTATAAGAATCACACGTCAACCAGACTTGCAAATCCCCAACCTCACTGAGGCCCAACTTGTCATAGATGATAAGCATATGAGATATTTACTTGCTCAGAATTTGGCTCGGGAGAACCTAATCAGAAGGCATTGATAAGGAGATTGATTTTTTATTTTTCATCAATCCAAAAGCTTCTCGCTTCTCTAAATTTCAGTTCCTGCTATGATGCACTTCATGGTGTTGTTGGAGATTATGCCAAATGCATTTTTTTTAAAGAACTTGCTGCAAAAGAAAGCTCCCTGCTGAATTGCACTCCTAAG